TTCCTGTTAAAGGAACTGTTGGTACAGAACTATTCTATGATTTCTAGTCTGACCTTTAGCCCTTTCTTCAAAGCTTCAAAATATACAGCAAAACTACATGAAATGAATGAAAAAACTAATTACAACTAGGAGAAATCAAGGTCAGTGTTTCTTCTACTTGTGAGGAATTTTATATATCAAGAGTTCTTTACTCCCCCCCCCCCAAATCATGTGATATTTCACACAAACACACACAAAAGAAAAGAAAACCCTGAAAGTCAAAAAAGCGGTGTTATTTTTTAACATGCACTCATACACAAGTTAAAAATCACAAGGCAATTTTTAAAATATTGTTTAAGTGTCTGGATTGCTGAGTGTGAAAGTTGCCAATGGACAATTCTACTCCATTGCTCCAAAGAAATTCTGGGAAATATGGTCATATTGTAACAGCCTACCCACGGAAATGGAGCCAATGAGACTGTGTATTATATAGCCTCTAAAGTTTTTTTCTTGTTTTTTTTTTATTTAAAAAAATGTGATGTATTATTAGAAGGTTAACAGATGAGCGATATGAACAATAACTAAATGTCTTGATATTTGAATTTAATAATTTAAATTATTTGCAGTTTAGTGAAATTAAAGAAACAGAAGAGATGCATTCCTCAGTTCCAGGTTTCATCTCATACAGAAATACTACTGGACATAGCACTGTTCCAGAGAAATTATGGCAAATTTGTATGCCTCACGAGCTCTGTGGGACTATATTGGAAATCTCACATGAATCAAATGGGCCTAAATCTGTGGTCATTCAATTCTTCTCCTTCCCTACCCTCCCACTACTTCATAGAAAAGACTTCTTACAGACTTCAATGTAAAGTCAATGTGTAAATATTCGTTCAAGAATTGTAAAGCACATTTACCACATTCTAGAAAATCTCCCTTCCTTTGTTCCCCACAAGTACCAAGATTAGTGTGAGAATTCTCAGCCAAGGGCTCTAAGAAATTTAAAAGAAAAAAATTAATTATACCATCAAAGTTAAAGGTTGTCCACATTAAGAAAATAAATAATCTGAATGATACTGAACTGGGTGGTCTGCAGTGTGCTTATTTATTGGTGTACAATTTAATAGTTTGCACAACTGAATGATGTTTCTGTATCTATTTGCCAAACTGCAGAATTTTGTTCATTTACTACAAATCTTTTTCACAATGCATCCAGCAAGATTAAGGATAATCTTAGTACACAAAAAAATTATATTTAAACCCCCAAACTAGGTCAGAGAGGACGTTTCTCCTTTTGACAAAGCCATCACAAAATTCACGATGATTCCTCAGAAAAGGGCCAATAGTAACTCTAGGAGGGGTACTGCAGTTAAAGACTGAGAAAGTACTCTGCAGAGGAAACTTCCATGACACCTACCTGCCTTGCCTGGCTCTATGTGATGCTTTTACAAGTCCCATGTTCAGTAACATATGTCTATATATAGATATATATATAGCCGAGATTTTAAAAAATTCATTCCTAAAGTTAGACTTCTAAATCCATATTTAGGTGTCTGAAGAAATTATCTGATTTTTCAAAAGTGCTGAGCTCTCAGCAGTTCTCATTAATATCAATAGGAGCTGCTGGTTGCCTAATACCTTTGAAAATCAGGCCATTTATTTAAGGATCTGAGTATGGATTTAAGAGTATCCTCTTTTCAAAATACTTGCCATATATGGTGGATTTTTCAAAGAAGCCCAGGTGATTTAGTCACAAAATCCTAATTACAAATTTCAAAAAATTGCCCTTAGTCTTTTTGGAAATCCCATCCATCTATAATATCACAAACAAAACTAAGTTAACAAAGCAAACACCACTTACCTAAAACTATAAACATATGGAAGGAAGAAGATAAGGGAAATCTTCAGAATTCATTAACACATTCAAGTAATCTACTATTACATTATATAAAACATTCACTTCCACCTCTTTTGGGTACCAAAAAGCAATATATGCTTCCCCTATGCTCACTCTAATGCAAAACCTTATCGCAACTTTATGCCCCTTTGTATCAAAAAAGTGGCACACCTGGCTGTCACATATTCCTCATGAGTAACATTATTCCACCTTAATAATGCAGAGATTGTCATTAACATTTTGCTACCACTCTTTCTGTATGAACTGAAGAGCATATAAATTAACAGGCAAAGAGAAAACAGCACAAGAGTAAAATAATGGTATTTGATTTCCTTAACTTACGAAGGTAAACAATCCAGTATTAGAGAAACTTCCCAGACACATAGGCCTGATCTACAATATGCTCATTCAAAGAGAAAAGAACTTTTAGCTCTGAAGAATTCAGTGCTTAAATTGGAGACCAGAGCAAAAAGAGCAACATAATCAGTCCAGACAAATAATATAAACCTATAACATGATCTGAAGGCACAACAGCTGCTGCAGCTGTAGCAACATGTCAGTCTGGTCTTTTCCTTCTTCCTTTCTCCAGTTATTAAAGATTTTGAAAATTTTAGTCTCTGGAAAGATCTTAGACAAAAAAATATACTTGGAGGTAAAGCCTGGTTTGATTTGCAGTGTTTCAGCCTTGTTGATCACGTTTAAGATCAGCTGTGGAAATACAAATTTTACTGTACATTCCCTTCTTTTGTAAGTACCTAGGGGAAACCCTTAGATTTGCCTCTATACATTTCACCATGCATGCATCCAAAGTCACACCTTTCCCATCCTTTATTTAAGAACCCATCCTTTTTCAATGGAGTCAGAAACTTCCACATGGAGCTTCATATTAGCATATGAACAATGAATCTCAGTTTACATGTGACCAGGATTCATCCCAAATTTGGTGTTCTGGTGGGCTAAGATTTTCTTAAGCAAGATGGTGGCAAAGTCTAATAGGAATTTGAGATTACTGCATGGGGTAAAGTACATTCAAAGGCATTGGTCTGAGTTTTCAACAGCACTGGCAGTACAAAAGTAGTCAAACAATATTCTGTATATGACAAGAGTGGCCAGACAGCAGCTTGTGAACCACATGTGGCTCTTTTACAGTTAAAATGCAACTTACAGAGCACACTATGTCCCCCATTTTCTGCCTACCAGACTGCTGAGGGGGAAGAGACTTGGGGCTTCTACCCTGCAGGAGAGAGGTGCTGCTTGACGCTTCAGCCCTGTGCAGTAGCCCCAATCTCCAGCAGACAGCCCTTCAGAGCTGAACCACGGAGCCCTGACAGGCATGCCCAGATCTTGAGGTTTTGAAGATTATTGTATTCAGCTCAGAGTCAACAAGTCTGGCCACCCCTGGTATTTGGGCATCACTGTGTCAAGTTATAAGCTAAGCCACTTTCAAAAGAACTCGGCACTCCCCTTAATTATAAGAAAAATTTTCTCAAGTATTCAAAGTACTGACTTGGTATGGTTCCTACCATCTATAAATGCCAATGATTGATAATATAATGAATAAGTGCAAGATCTTCTACATTAGTGACACAGGGTATGTCTACACTACAAAGTTTATTCGAACTAACAGCCGTTAGTTCGAATTAACTTTGATAGGTGCTACACAGGCAAACCGCTAGTTCGAACTTAATTTGAACTAGCGGAGCGCTTAATTTGAACTAGGTAAACCTCATTCTACGAGGACTAACGCCTAGTTCGAATTAAGTAGTTCGAATTAAGGGCTGTGTAGCCACTTAATTCGAACTAGTGGGAGGCTAGCCCTCCCCAGCTTGCCCTGGTGGCCACTCTGGGCACCACCAGGGAAACTC